ATACACAAGAAAATAAAAGGCAAGAAGTATGGTATAACGAAGACTTCGACATTGATTTAGAAGCGTCGGAAGATCAATCTACGAATTGGCAAGAAATTGTCGATAAAAGAATTGCGTCGCGTACGAAACGATTTGCACATAACTCTAAATCTCCCAAATTACATATTAATCACTTTGGAAATGTAGCATCTGCATTTTTCTATCCACTTCTGCACGGCTTTGGCCGTCGTGATATTCTTAAGCTTAATGGCTTAAGAATTTATTCGGATCAAGAAAATATTTTATTATTACGTTTCCTGAAAACGTTGTCTGCCATAATGTTAGCGGCGCAAAATTGTTTATTGGCATCAAAGATGGGTAAAGAAATATTGGAGCTTCTGTGGACAGTAAGGAATCACGATGAAGCGACTGTGAGACTAGCCGTTACAGAAAATATCGGATCTGTACTTATTGCAGTGCCGAAGGATGCTATCATCGACGAATTGTCTGAACCCTTGATGGAAATAAGAGAATGGCTTCTATTATCACAAAACGTCGTTAACGGCGAACACGATGCAAATTGCAGGGTCTTAAACGCGAAAGTGTTATCCTTCATCAATTTGATTATAAGCTCTACTTTTAAGTGTGTAGATTGATTGAGATTTCAATCAATCATTACAATATTGTTATATAGAACTTTTCATTTTTACAGTACAATCATTTATATAACTATTATGTATGTAATACATTTCCACGCAGAATATATTTTGTTTTTAGAATTAATTTTTCTGTTTGTGAAAATTACAAATTACAGAAATAGATTATGTGTGTAATTTAAATACAAGAAGACTTTTGTTATCAGTGTAATTTTTAGTTGATACCCGTCTATATATAAAAATTATATATGTTATTGATGTTTTCCATAAAATTAAAAACATTGAAAGTATTTCATTTTCCATAAAGTGAAATAAGTAAAATGTTTAACACATATATGACTTTATGCAATATAAAAAATCGCTTTGTAGCACAATGTTTGATTAATTTAAGTGCTTTATCAATACATAGTAAATCAAATAAAGTAAATCTATTTTCTACTATAAATTTTAATATAATATTAAACTGTTTTTGTACATGCTGGAACATAAAAAAAATTATATGTACTCGTAGATTTTTATACAGATATGAGATAACAACTACAATGCATGCTATGAATTAAAATTAGTGTCATATTTAGGATCGGTCGGATTGTCGCCCGTCACGAATCTTCTTCCACCTACAACCAATACTAGAAATCAAACATCTAGTAATACGACGTCTTCTACGCAAGTCGGTTCGACTTGGACTGGTTCGGGATTGAATATCGACCTCGATAACATAATGGGTAGTAAAACAAAACAAACTGGCCCAGCACCGACGATGAACCAATTGGCTAGCAATAGCCCACAACATCAGATTAAAATAGGACGTAAGTAATTCCTTAACGGCCTGTTTGCAAATTGTTATAGGGTCGTTTTTCTATTAAGTACTGTATTGATAAAATTGTTTTCTGATTGATAAACTGAGATAGCGTTACGTTCGATAAAACGCAATTGTCCTTGTTAATGATTCTTAAATGATTTTTAAATTAGCTATAGTCTGAACACCGTCTCATTCTTAACTGCTGGAGTATGAGGAATGGGATATATGTCACCGGTGCAATCTCTACCACAGAATCAGCAGCAGCAACCTAATGCACCGTTCTTTCCTGCATTCCAATAAAGGATTATATGTTCAGTCTAGAACACAAAGTCTCGAGGCACAATATGCAAAAATTTAAGCTTTACAGAAATGTGTCACTATTTGTTTCAATTGATTGAAATTAACGATAATAAATCTTACATTTTCCGCCTGGGCTCCAATTTATACAGGGTTCAACATTAGACGATTATATATAGCGAAATATTTTCTATTAGCGTTCAGCTCTAGGCATAACGTGTTTTAGGAGACATCGTATGTCAAAGACGTGTGTTCAGAAAATAATTCGAAAGGATAAATTGAAGCATGTCGGTATTTTGTAATTTTTATTTATATAAGAAGTATCTCGATACTACGATACAAATTCTTAACAATTGGTATTTATATATACATAAATATAAAAAACGATATCTAGTAAAAGCATACTGTACAATAATAACAAATAACATAAAAGCAAATCAATCATTTTTCCTGATTATTGCGAGGCAGCTTGGTACAGTCTAAGTCTAAACCAATAATTAATGTAAAGGCGACGACAAGCAGCATTCCTGTAACTTGCAAAAAAAATGCGTGTAACTTCTGTAATATGCATTATAATACTTGTGTGTTATGCGGGAACAAATTTGGCAGGAATTATTGCCGTATGTGTATTTTATACATAATGTATATTAATCTTGGAAGAATTGGGATTATGCCTTATAGATAAAATGTAAGCATAATCTAATTAGCATTCACTTCTCATCATGTGTACATTGTCTGGAACATAGACACAATGCATGAAAAAGTTGATGCTTTTATAATTAAAATAGATTATATGAAAAATAACCATTACATTAATATTAAAAATGTGTATGTAAAAATGACGGCAGCGAAAGAATTGTGTGAGGAAAAAATGAATCATTAGTGGATATTATTAAGTGCTTCCCTCTTACAATTATTACGGCAGAAGAAATTACGATTATTAATTCTCTTTCGTAGAAAAAAAATGTATAGATAAGAAAATATATTTTAGCATTTCTTTTATCATGAAAAACTGAATTGAATTGAATCTATCACAAAATCGGTGTAGGAAAACTGTGTACGATTCAACATCAATTCATACGTGATTACAATTCAATATGAATTGTTTAAGGATTCACTAATTGCGTAATTTTAATATGAATTAAAAGAAATTATCTTTATTATTACATATGATATTATATAATTATCGTAAATTGAGTGACAAAAAATTGTTAGCATTTGATTACATCTTACTAACAATGAAATAATGCATATCCTTTAACATAAATGTTTATGGAATTATCATCACATTGTAGTTAATTCTAAACAGCAATTAATATATCATTATTGTGTTATACATGTATGTAATCCCATTTACATCACTGTTCACGTTGTTATTTTTAATTTAGTTTATCTTTGCTGCATGATATTAAGATATTTTAAGTTACATGTCGCATAAATCTATTATGATAAAGATTATCATTTATATTATCAAAATTATGTATGCATCGGATGTATATATATTGATAAAAAAAGAGAGAGAAAGGTGCTTGGCATTTATCTTTCGATTTTTAACAGCAATAAGCAGGCAAAAATTTACAAGTTGAACAACTTTCAAAGTCAGTGGCAAAGCTGGACACATTATATACATGTTATAAGAATGGTTTTTATTATCTATTTCTAAAAAATATACAATATAGTTTAATGTTACGAGATATTGAAGATCTCAGAAGCAATTGATATAATAGAAGCCATTCTGTACAATTACATAGAAAAAATTATCGTGTCGAATAGTTATCCAATTGTTTAGTTTTGCCTTATAAAGTTGACTCCAAGAGATCATACGCTAGAGAGAAACTTTTCCGCGAGTACCAGAGACTGAATTATGTAAAGGCAAATCCTTTACATTTTCCATTATTTGAGCATTTTATATGAGGCAAGATGTTTAACAACATAGGCAGGGAGATATATTTTTCAAATATGAAAATATATTGTACAAATATATAAGAGAAAAGTTGTTTTAGTCAATTCAATGCATAGAGAATCATCAACCGATTATTAAGTGTTATTACGAGGGTGCATGTACAGTTTAGTGTTATAAAACCCTTTGTAAAACGAGTTAACAAATCGCGAGATCCTATTGAAATTTCCTTATAGCTGGCGAATTCTGCAATACTTTGCGCAATATAAATTATTTTTCATTTATAGCTTATTCTTGTGTTATTTACGCGCGATAATATTGTTTATGATATTTAAGATTAATTGAATTGATACCATTACAAATTCTCCAAATTTTCATTTTATAAAATATTAAAAAAAACTTGAAAATTGAAATTCAGATAAAAATTTATGGCAATGAAATTCTTACATTTTGTATAAATGTTTTATTGTATGTAATATTTGGAATTCATAGGATATACTGATACATATCAATATTAGTCGCGCGTATAAAAAAATAAATACATATATATACATAATCGAATGTGATGTGTAAAAAATACGAGTTCATATAAAATTTATATTTGATTCAATCAATGATTATTAATTCTCCAATGTGAATAATGGCAGGATACATTGCTTATAGTATTTATATGTGATCCGATTTAAATAGCTCAGTTGATTTTTGAGATCTTGAGACTTCGCTAAAACCAATTTTATTGTATAATTATTGTTTAGGTATTTATACCTATATTTTGCATATTTATCGTTATTAAATGCTAATTGGTGCTGGTATTAACACATAATATTATGAATGTCCATTTACTTTTTTTTATTACAATTACCTCTCTTCCTGTTCCTCAAATATAAATAGAAAAACAGCAAAAATAGGAACCATTAAATTTCTTCTGTTTTACGTTTGTAATTTTTGTCGTTTTATTATTTTCTTAGAATATGATTTACACAATTGGTCATTTATTATCTCTAGTAATTAAATTCGCTGTACCCAGTTTTATGTGTAAGATTTTCTTTGATACAGAAAATGTATCTCCAATGCAAAACATAATGTTATACTAAAAAAAATTAAAATTTTTGTTTGTATTTTCTTGTATCATTGTAGAAAAACACTGTAAAAGTTTTATATTTATAATGTATAAATCTGTAAAGGATACAGAACGAGTCAATGCTAATAATACTAGACATAATTATTTATAACTTTGATAGATATAAGTTTATATTGATACACAAAGAAAAAAATTAATTGGTAAATAAAAATTTTTCAGAATATTTCCAAACACAAATTTAGATATAAGAAGTATATTTCATTTATAAAATATACATAGAAGGCGATCTTTCTTTATTCATCAATTTGTTTCGATTTTTTCTTTTTTTTCTTTTTCTGTAATGACGTATTTACTTCGTCGTTTTCAATATGTCCATTCTCTTGGCCATTTTCGAGAACATGTTTTCTTTTTTTATGTTTCTTTTTCTTCTCAGCTTCTTTTTCTTGAGCTGCCAACATATGTGCCGTTTCCTCTAGTGCCTCTTTCATTACGTCCAGATTTTTTTTCGGTTCTTTGCCAGTTGTAAAGAAATCTAGTCTGTCTTCTACCTGTTGTCGTAATTTTTCACCAAATATCTTCGTTGGTATTTCCGCGAAACAATCAATTCTAGAGGCAATGGAACATTTATTTGCCAGGTATCTTGCAATTCTACCCTTATTTTTAGTGCCAGCGCGACCGATAAATGTAGAATGGAACAAGAGTCCATATTTCGGAGTATTCGACTTTCCACGGCTTTTCAATGCTCTAAACAAGGCTTTTTCCGCTCCCAATATTTGAACAGTAGATGCTGGTGCTTTCGCTAAATTAGTAAGCGATCCGGCATGTGCTATTAATCTGGCGCCGACTTGATCTCCAATTAATGTAGCTAAATTCGGTGCTACTCCTGCCATTTTTCGCGTTAAATAATCGGCCATCTTTTTCCTATAGTCCACCAATGCGACAACGCGTCCAGCAAAAATCTCAACGTTCATTAAATCAACTGAACTTATGTCCATTCCCATGGATGATTTGGCTGCGTTGATAATGGCCTGTGCTCTTGAACTATCCATGACAACTTCTTCTAACATTTTCATCTTTTTATCCGTTAGTTGTTTTCTATCTTTTATTACTTGTGCAACTTTCGCGTATATATAATTTTCTGGAACTATTTTTGCAAGTTCTGGGTAATGGTAACTGTACCATTCTCTAAAAATAAAAAAAAAAGTTATCTTCAAGTATCTTCTATTTTATTTTCAATATATTTAAAGAATACTATACATACCGCATACGCATGCTAAACGTGTTGATATCTTTGTCAAGTTGATCAAGTAAGGCTATACTCTGAATGATCATGTTGTCTACTCGATTCACATTGAATTTAACTTTTGCTCTCGAGTAACTGTGTCCAAGACCTAGTTGTGCAATCACAGAATTCTGGGATGTAAAACCTTTCACCAGATTGTGAAAGTGGAACCTTATTCCCCTTGTAATTTCAGGAACAACATTGACATGATCGCACTTAATACCCAAGATTTCAGTGATATTAGCACCAAGTTTGGGATCTGCGACACCAAGAACAATATCTGATTTGGCAAATCCACTAAAGCTAGAATCTAGGAAGACCTTCAGGACATCTGTCATAATTCCTTCGGAAATACTGTTGATATTTTCCAGAGCAGACAACGCTGTCTTGAAAGGTAAAAATCCAACTAGGCTTACGATGCTACGGAAACGTGACAGATCTGTTACAGATTCTTCCACCTGAGGTAACAGCATTCCAATTTCTTCAAACTCTTTAACGCGAAATATGGCGTAACCAGCAGCATGTTCGAATAGAATGAAAAGCTTCGACTGTAAAATAAGCAATTTTTTAAGTAAAAATATTGCGATTGTCTTTTAATTTCGATATAAATTTTAAGCATTTTTAATCTGCCTTAATCTCTATGTTCTATAAGCTACGATTGTTTCCATTATTGTATCATTTCATTTTTTAAATAAATGAATATTATCCGCCACGTGCAACTTAATTGGAGGTTAACCTCAAAATTCGTAAATAAATATGGAATTATCTAGAAAATAATTCTAATCAAAACGTACAAATGAAATTAATATTACGTTTTGAAAAAGATTTATTTCGAATTTCATTTCTAAAAATTGCATTATTCGCGCATAACATTAAATTGCGTCGTTTATATATCAACATGTGCTGTCTCGGCGCAGGATGTTAAGTAAAGAAAATTAGAGATTTTAGCTCAAAATAAGTCGTTATTGCAACAAAATTTGAAAATACTTGTACTTGCCATTTTTAATAATTTTGTATTTCTTATTCCGATTACACTGCGTTGGAAGAATTTAAATAAATTTCGGTAATTGTTAAGTTTAGCTTGTTTAGCCCACTTATATTCAATATTAGACTTGATTAGACTCACTCAATGTGTTTCGGCACGAAACAACCGAATCTGGCAGAACGTCGCTCTGCCTTGAATTAAAATATTAATAATTCAAGTTATCGACTACTCAGGTTAAGTAACTCAGTCGGACTGATGAAAAGTAGCACGCGCTATGCGCTATGGTCACATCACATATAGAGTTTTCTAGTAAAGAATTAAGACCGGAAAGACGCCATTGGAAACAGAACAATTCCACAATTCTACACATGAAACAGTATTCACACCAATTCACAAATTCACTACCACATCGAAAATATCTGCAAATGGCGGCGTTTAAAGGACTCGAAATCTGACCAATCAGAGATCGATAGATACCTAATGCCCGTATTCATAGTCAGGCCTTATAGATCAGTTTCACTAATGCTAGTTAGTTTAATCGGCTGTTGATTGACCAATCGCGGTTGATAATTAATCACGATTAAGCTTGATTGGCGTTGGTAAAACTTAAGGCTTTCTTAAATTTATCTTCAGATATTTAACGAATTATTTCATTGGTTACTGAGCATCTAAAGATAAATTTAAGGAAGCCTTAAGTACAAAGTCTGATTATTATCTATATTCATAGTCAGATTTGCTTTTAAAATATTATTGACATATTTTTAAAATATTATGTGATTTTTATAAATTATCTTTTTTATTTCCTTATTGACAAGATAAAATTTAAAATCCATTCTAATAGTTATTTTTACATGAAGTATACACTGTGTAAAAACAACCATCAAAACGATCGAATAACTTAGAATAAATAGATAACAATTAGATCGAATAACTTAGAACAAATAGATAATAAAATTTTATCTTAATTTCAATAATAAAATTATATTAAGATAAATCATTTTTATCGATTTATTTTATGTACATATATAATAATATATACAGCAAATTTTATAAATAAGTTACATAAATTAATACTCATTTCCACCAATGTAGATCAATTTTAATACTCTTTATTTTTTCTAGTTTTAAAAATTAGAAAAAGACGAAGAGTGGAATCGAGATTAAAGTTAATCTACATTGGTAGAAACGAACATAAATAAAATCTATTTATTGTGTGTATGTGTGTGTGTGTGTGTGTGTGTTTTATAAAAATGCATACACACATATATAAAATATGTACGTGCGTATATTTATATATACGCTACTGAAATAGACATTATGCCACCCGCAAGATTTTGTCTATATCTAAAAATGATCACTTTAAAAAAGATTGTATATATCACCAGAGAGACTGATCGATATCACTGGCGTAGATTATTTTGTTTATATGCGCGGGAAAAGGATCATCTTCCATCGATAAAACATGTTCATCTTCCCACGGACCGGATTGGTTCGCTAATCGAGCTGACGAATCGAACGTAAAAAGGCGGGAATCACCTGCTTCTTCTCTTAATTCTTACGGCTCTTACCACCTCTTTCTATCGAGTGCATCTGGCTGATCTGCGCGCGAAACGTCAAGTTGGCAACGACGTTCGGTCGGTTCGGTGTGTTTCTTGCCATTGGCTTCCGGCGATCATAGTACGGCCAGGCCAGGTGTGCGGAGTACCCTAAACGCCGTTGGACTGTGGTGTCTAAGCTGGACGGCGGTCAGACGCCGTCGAGCAGACTTGCTCATTGTCGTGTTACTTTTGTTATGAGATTTCCACGACGTTCTGGGAGATTCGCTGCTCGGTTGCGATACTGGAACTGGATCGCCGATCGGCATCGAAGAGTCTTGCGGCTTGACGTCGGGATCCCAGGACTGGTACGAGTACTACCAGCCACAAATACGTCCACCATACCGTATTGCTTGGCGTGCGTTGTTCGTGAGAGAGCGAGAAAGAAAGAGGAGAAGAAAGCGTAAGTCTGCGTTCACGACATCGTCGACACCGATCTTTCTTGATCTTCTTGGCGGGTCGAGAAAACGGTGGAAAAAGAAAGAAGAAGAAAGAAGAGGAAGAGAAGGGAAGAATTGTCGCGGTCGCGATCATCGTCACCGTCGAAATGCCGCTGCTACGCAAACAGCCGTTTCAGCGGCTTCACGTCTCCTCGGACTTTAGGGACGACGACGAGGTGTATCACTGCGAGGTTACGAATGAGATATTTAAAAATTACAAGTGAGTTTCAGAAGATACGGATACAAAAGTAGCGGTGGAAATATTTTGGTCTGACCGCGAATATGTGATTTCGGCTGATGTCTCCTCCAAGATTGTTGCCCACGTTTCGCCGTGTCGATGGCATTTCTCATTGATTGTGGGATGATGACGGAAAGCTGATAAATTGTTATATTGAAACGCGATCGATTGTTATTGTAGGTTGTGGACAGGATTGCCTCGCATTATCGCTCAAATTATAATATGTCAGTTATCGGTTTCAACTGGATTGCATAAAAATATGATGTAATTTTGTTGTAAGATTGGACTGAAGCACCTGTCTTCTTGGAACGAAATTGGCACTTCGGAAATCCGTTCTCATGTCCTCATGAATAATTTCCATTTTTACCTATGTAGATTAGCTTTAATCTTCTGTTTGACTTACTTTTTATCTTTCTAGTTCTAAGAATTAGAAATGGATATTAGAACTAGAAAGAGATAAAATTAAGTTAAATTGCAAGATTAAAGTTAATTTATATTGATAGAAATGGACACAGATCCATTTCTTTTTTAAATTTCGATTTAATTTATTCTTCTTTTAATTCTTAGAAATGAAAAAAGATAAGAAGCCACTTAAATTAATATTAACATCTACATTGAAATGGAATAAGAATTAACTTAACCAATTATTAACTCGGCTGATAAAATTGTAAAAAAATTCCTATCTGATTTGTCATCCTTGATCTATGCTTTTATACAAATGTCTGATATCTCACTGTTCATCTCAAACATTTTTTAGGAGTCTATCCCCTCTTCTTAAATTTTTATACAGAAATCAGTCCTTTCGTTATAACATGATAGTATCTATCATACAGATCAATTTATTTCAGACTTCATAAGACTCGCAAGATTATAATATTGTTAAATATTAATCTTTTTGTATTTGAAAATCAAGGTGCTCTTTATCACTATTATTAAAGAAGTTTGAAAATTATATTTATATATTTAAGAATGAGATTGTTAAAAGTTTTTTAAAATATATTATTAACATTATGTACAATAATATATACAATATATATATATATACAATAATTTTTTAATA